GCTGGTGATCCCGCAGGTGAAGAAGACTGATGTGGAGGTCCTGGGCTGACATGGTTACACGTGGTCTGCAGTTGTGAGGCCGGTTGGACATACTGCCAAATTCTCTAAAACGATGTTGGAGGCGGCTTATAGTAGAGAAATGAACATTCAATTCTCTGGCAACAGCTCTGGTGGACATTCCTGCAGTCATGACAATTGCGCGCTCCCTCAAAACTTGAGAAATCTGTGGCATTGTGTTGTGTGACAAAACTGCACATTTTAGAGAGGCCTTTTATTGTCCCCAGCACAAGGTGCAACTGTGTAATGATCATGCTGTTTAATCAGCTTTTTGATATGCCACACCTGTCAGGTAGATGGATTATCCTGGCAAAGGAGAAATGCTCACTAACAGGGATGTCAATAAATGTGTGTGCAATATGTGGGAGAAATTAACTTTTTGTGTGTATGGCACATTTCTGGGATCTTTTATTTCAGCTCATGAAACATGGGACCATAACTTTACATGTTGCGTTTATATTTTTGTTCAGTATACAGTACCAGTCAAAAGTTTGGACACAGCTACTCATTCAAGGGTTTTTCTTTATTTTTACTATTTTCTACATTGTCGAATAATAGTGAAGACATCACAACTATGAAATAACACATACGAAATTAGGTAGTAACCAAAAAAGTGTTAAAAAAATCAAAATATATTTTAGATTCTTCAAAGTAGCCACACTTTGCCTTGATGACAGCTTTGCACGCTCTTGGCATTCTCTCAACCAGCTTCACATGGAATGATTTTCCAACAGTCTTGAAGGAGTTCCCACATATGCTGAGCACTTGTTGGCTGCTTTTCCTTCACTCTGCGGTCCAACTAATCCCAAACCATCTCAATTGGGTTGAGGTCGGGGGATTGTGGAGGACAGGTCATATGATGCAGCACTCCATTACTCTCCTTCTTGGTCAAATAGCCCTTACACAGCCTGGAGGTGTGTTGAGTCATTGTCCTGATGAAAAACAAATGATAGTCCCACTAAGCGCAAACCAGATGGGATGGCGTATCGCTGCAGAATGCTGTGGTAGCCATGCTGGTTAAGTGTGCCTTGAATTCTAAATAAATCACTGACAGTGTCACCAACAAAGCACCCCCACACCATCACACCTCCTCCTCCTCCATGCTTCACGGTGTGAACCACACATGCAGAGATCATCCGTTCACCTACTCTGCTTCTCACAAAGACACAGCAGTTGGAATCAAAAATTTCAAATTTGGACTCATCAGACCAAAGGACAGATTTCCACCGGTCTAATGTCCATTGTTCTTGTTTCTTGGCCCAAGCAAGTCTCTTCTTCTTATTGGTGTCCTTTTAGTAGTAGTTTAGTAGTAGTTTCTTTGCAGCAAATTGACCATGAAGGCCTGATTCACACAGTCTCCTCTGAACAGTTGATGTTGAGATGTGTCTTTTACTCTGTGTAGTATTTATTTGGGCTGCAATTTCTGAGGCTGGTAACTCTAATGAACTTATCCTCTGCAGCAGAGGTAACTCTGGGTCTTCCTTTCCTCTGGCGTTCCTCATGAGAACCAGTTTCATCATAGCGCTTGATGGTTTTTGCGACTCCACTTGAAGAAACTTTCAAAGTTTTTGACATTTTCCAGATTGACTGACCTTCATGTCTTAAAGTAATGATGGTCTGTCTTTTCTCTTTGCTTATTTGAGCTGTTCTTGCCATAATATGGACTTGGTCTTTTACCAAATAGGGCTATCTTCTGTATATCACCCCTACCTCGTCACAACACAACTGATTGGCTCAAACACATTAAGAAGAAAATAAATTCCACAAATTAACTTTTAACAAGGCACACCTGTTAATTGAAATGCATTCCAGGTGACTACCTCATGAAGCTGGTTGAGAGAATGCCAAGAGAGTGCAAAGCTGTCTTCAAGGCAAAGGGTGGCTATTTGAAGAATCTCAAATATATTTTGATTTGTTTAACACTTTTTTTGGTTACTACATGATTCCATATGTGTTATTTCAATGTGTTGATGTCTTCACTATTATTCTACAATGTAGAAAATAGTAAAAAATAAAGAAAAACCCTTGAATGAGTAGGTGTGTCCAAACTTTGACTGGTAGTATATACACTGCTCAAAAAATAAAGGGAACACTAAAATAACACATCCTAGATCTGAATGAATGAAATAATCTTATTAAATACTTTTTTCTTTACATAGTTGAATGTGCTGACAACAAAATCACACAATTATCAATGGAAATCAAATTGATCAACCCATGGAGGTCTGGATTTGGAGTCACCCTCAAAATTAAAGTGGAAAACCACACTACAGGCTGATCCAACTTTGATGTAATGTCCTTAAAACAAGTCAAAATGAGGCTAAGTAGTGTGTGTGGCCTCCACGTGCATGTATGACCTCCCTACAACGCCTTGGCATGCTCCTGATGAGGTGGCGGATGGTCTCCTGAGGGATCTCCTCCCAGACCTGGACTAAAGCATCCGCCAACTCCTGGACAGTCTGTGGTGCAACGTGGCGTTGGTGGATGGAGCGAGACATGATGTCCCAGATGTGCTCAATTGGATTCAGGTCTGGGGAACGGGCGGTCCATAGCATCAATGCCTTCCTCTTGCAGGAACTGCTGACACACTCCAGCCACATGAGGTCTAGCATTGTCTTGCATTAGGAGGAACCCAGGGCCAACCGCACCAGCATATGGTCTCACTAAGGGTCTGAGGATCTCATCTCGGTACCTAATGGCAGTCAGGCTACCTCTGGCGAGCACATGGAGGGTTGTGCGGCCCCCAAAATAAATGCCACCCCACACCATGACTGACCCACCGCCCAACCGGTCATGCTGGAGGATGTTGCAGGCAGCAGAACATTCTCCACGGCGTCTCCAGACTCTGTCACGTCTGTCACATGTGCTCAGTGTGAACCTGCTTTCATCTGTGAAGAGCACAGGGCACCAGTGGCGAATTTGCCAATCTTGGTGTTCTCTGGCAAATGCCAAACGTCCTGCACGGTGTTGGGCTGTAAGCACAACCCCCACCTGTGGACGTCGGGCCCTCATACCACCCTCATGGAGTCTGTTTCTGACCGTTTGAGCAGACACATGCACATTTGTGGCCTGCTGGAGGTCATTTTGCAGGGCTCTGGCAGTGCTCCTCCTGCTCCTCCTTGCACAAAGGCGGAGGTAGCAGTCCTGCTGCTGGGTTGTTGCCCTCCTACGGCCTCCTCCACGTCTCCTGATGTACTGGCCTGTCTCCTGGTAGCGCCTCCATGCTCTGGACACTACGCTGACAGACACAGCAAACCTTCTTGCCACAGCTCGCATTGATGTGCCATCCTGGATGAGCTGCACTACCTGAGCCACTTGTGTGGGTTGTAGACTCCGTCTCATGCTACCACTAGAGTGAAAGCACCGCCAGCATTCAAAAGTGACCAAAACATCAGCCAGGAAGCATAGGAACTGAGAAGTGGTCTGTAGTCACCACCTGCCAAACCAGTCCTTTATTGGGGATGTCTTGCTAATTGCCTATAATTTCCACCTGTTATCTATTCCATTTGCACAACAGCATGTGACATTTATTGTCAATCAGTGTTGCTTCCTAAGTGGACAGTTTGATTTCACAGAAGTGTGATTGACTTGGAGTTACATTGTGTTTAAGTGTTCCCTTTATTTTTTTGAGCAGTGTATATATAAATGTCTTACCGAGCCTTTCCATAAGTTCACTCAAGTTTCTTCAACTGTCTTCCGACTGTGATTAGAGCGATGTTGATGTTGTGCCGTGATGCCAGCAGATTCCAGATGGCCTTTGCCGATCACTCATCATCTTCATCCATCAGTGAGTGGATGGCTTGAATAGTCTCGCTGGAAATGGAATACAATGTAAAAATGTGCAGCAGACAGTAAAGGCCAGCATTAGATTTATTTAAGCATTCTTTTGAGCAATATTAGGCCTAGTGTACAATATTGTAGCCTACTGTACCTGTTCATTTTCCTGGGCTTTCGCCGTCTGGACCGTTATGCTGTTCTGCTATTCCAAGGATGTGTAACCGAAGAGAGATACCACGAGTAGACACAGAATACCAGCTGGGATGGATCCCGAGGCAAATGTGGCTTACCAGTGAACCTCCGAGTGTTCATCATTAAAACATGAGTTTTCCGTATGTGATCATGAAGGATTCAAAAATGTCAAAACATGTTGCGTTTATATTATTGTTCATTGTAGCTATCTGCATCTCCGAACACGTGTGTAAACGGAAGATGGACGCCACAAACCTGTTGTCACTGAAAAATACTGTTAGGCTACAACTGTGTTAAAAATTGGTTGAAGGTTTAATATGCATAAATCGCTCCGCCATTTCCTGGTTGCTAAAATTCTAATAGTTCGCCTAATTTCAGTTTATATGACCAAACAGTGCATAGTGTAGAAAACCATTGTACCTTCTAAACTGCAGTGAAATATATTTTCAATGACCAAATGTATTATATTTCCAGCTGTTTAAAGCTGGTGTACAAAACCGAACCTGAAAGACGCAAAAACGAAACTTAAGAACGGGAAGCATAGAGATAGCGCACATAGACTTGCTTTTAATTAGAATTACAGATCTGTAACTCACATTTTTGTGTGAATTTGGTTGGGTCGCCCAAAAAGTTACATATTGCAGCTTTATAACAGTGTAGAAAATATTGTATTTTGCATTTGTGAAATTATTTTGATGTGATAAGAAAGTAGAGGGATTTGCGTTTCTAGAACCGTACCTCAATTGAGAATCGATTCACGTTTAGATGGAGTATTTGGCTGTTTTGTCTTCCAGAGCTAATGTAAGGTCCTTGGATTAAAGAATAACGTTAGGCTCCTTTCGTCCAATATTGGGCTAGCTAGCCACTGTTACTAAATTACATTGGTGTTAGCTAGCTAGAGCTGTGCTAGTGTGAGATTGCTATTGAAATGTTCAATGTTATAAACAGACTGAGTCTTTTTGTTTCTTCTTTAGGGTTCTTGTCCACATCTATGTGTCGCCTCGCGCAGGGGAGTGACGATGGCAAGCCAACAAAATTCACCCCTCCACCAAAACCTGTCATCATTGACAAAACACAGTCCGAGGCTTCACTGCGAAAGTAAGTGTCTAAGGATATTCTAGCCAACAAGCTGTGTTCAAAACATTGAAACCATAGTGATGTGATGCTAGCCTGTTCCCATATCTGTTTAGGCCTAGCACTTTTGCCAACTTCATTGCTGTCATTGTCAAACCAAACAATGGCATGATGGCACAAACAGGCTGGCACTGCCTCACTTATGTGATGCCATTTAGCTATAGTAACACTGACTTTACTTTAGCAATTCTCTTGTTTTTCATCAGCAATAATGCCATACTCAATTAATAATGCTTGCTTCTGTTCTGTTTTTGAACACAGGTTCCTGAGCCCAGAATTCATCCCTCCCCGACAGAGAATAAATCCTCTGAAGTTCTCCATCGAGCGCAAAGACATGATCCAGAGGAGGAAAGTGTTTAACATTCCAGAGTTTTATGTTGGTAAGTGACTTTTGAGACGGTTGTTGGTTTATAAATTATGCTGCAGTACACACCATCATATCTGCTAGCCAGCCCTATACAGAACAGTCTATTGAGAGCTCCATTCAACGACCCATGCTGAGCACTTGTGTGAAGTTCTGTTGCAATATAGCTACTTGCATTGTCGTTATTCTAAAGCGGTTATTGGATTGCTAATGAACAGGCTTCACTGTGCTGCTAGGCAGTATAGGACCATTTCCCGGCCATGTCAGTTGCACCCGCAGTTCCAAATCAGAAACCGGTTTGTTTATATGGAACTAAATACGATCACGTCCGACTTCAGATGCAGCTCATGCAAGTTGGCAAACACGTAATCAGATGGTTATCATCAGCAACATTTCAGATGTCATCAGAGGATTGATTACCTAGCAAGCCAGCGAGGCAAGGTAAAATATCACAAATTGAGCCAGAAGAATAATATACAGTGCCTTCAGAAAGTATTCATACCACTTGACTTATTCCACATTTTGTTGTGTTACAGCCTGAATTCCAAATGGATAAAAAATATTTTAAAAAATATCACCCATCTACACACAATACCCCATAATGACAAAGTGAAAACATGTTTTTCGACATTTCTGCAAATTGATTCAAAATGAAATACAGCAATAGCTCATTTACATAAGTATTCACACCCCTGAGTCAGTACATGTTAGAATCCCCTTTGGCAGCAATTACAGCTGTGAGTCTTTCTGGGTAAGGTTCTAAAAGCTTTGCACACCTGGATTGTACAATATTTGCCGATTTTATTATATTGAAATTCTTCAAGCGCCGTCAAATTGGTTATTGATCATTGCTTGACAACCATTTTCAAGTCTTTCCATAGATTTTCGAGCAGATTTAAGTCAAAACTGTCACTCGGCCACTCAGGAACATTCACTGTCTTCTTGGTAAGCAAATCCAGTGTAGATTTGGCCTTGTGTTTTAGGTTATTGTCCTGCTGAAAGGGGAATTCATCTCCCAGTGTCAGGTAGAAAGCAGACTGAACCAGGTTTTCCGCTAGGATTTTGCCTGTGCTTAGCTCCATTCTGTTTATTTTTTATCTTGAAATACTCCCCAGTCCTAAATGATTACAAGCATACCCATAACATGATGCAGCCACGACTATGCTTGAAAATATAGAGAGTGGTACTCAGTAATGTGTTGTATTGGATTTTCCCCACACATAACACAAAAAGCGAATTGCTTTGCCACATTTTTTGCGGGATTACTTTAGTGCCTTGTTGCAAACAGGATGCCTTTTTTGGAATATTTGTATTCTGTACAGGCTTCCTTCTTTTTACTCTGTCAATGAGGTTAGTATTGTGGAGTAACTACAATGTTGTTGATCCATCCTCAGTTTTCTCCTATCACAGCCATTAAACTGTTTTAAAGTCACCATTGGCCTCATGGTGAAATCCCTGAGAGGTTTCCTTCCTCTCCGGCAACTGAGTTAGAAAAGACGCCTGTATCTTTATAATGACTGGGTGTATTGATAAACCATCCAAAGTGTAATTAATAACTTCACCATGCTCAAAGAGATATTCAATGTCTGCTTTTTAAATTGTTTACCACTACAAATAGGTGCCCTTCTTTGCGAGGCATTGGAAAACCTCCCTGGTCTTTGTGGTTGAATCTGTGTTTGAAATGCACTGCTCGACTGAGGGACCTTACAGATTATTGTATGTGTGGGGTACAGAAATTAGGTAATTCAGAAATCATGTTAAACACTATTAATGCACACAGTGAGTCCATGCAATTTATTATGTGATTTGTTAAGCACATTTTTACTCCTGAACTTACTTAGGCTTGCCATAACAAAGGGGTTGAATACTTATTGAATCAAGACATTTCAGCTTTTCATTTTTAATTAATTAGTCAACATTTTGGAAAAAAACATAATTCTACTTTGACATTATGGGGTATTGTGTGTAGGCCAGTGACAAAAAAATCAACATTTAATCCATTTTAAATTCAGGCTGTAACACAACAAAATGTGGAAAAAGTCAAGGGGTGTCAATAATTTCTGAAGTCACTATTTGTTGAGCATATCTATAGCCATCAGTCTTGTGTGTTTTCATGGTCATCACTCCCTCACTGCTAAGTGTATCGCTAGCTATGTGCTACAGGGCTTTTTGTCCCAAGTATGCCCGTGCATCACTCAAAAGTGGCTCTTGCTTCCTAGCTCACAACATCCTTATACCAGTACTTGATCTGGCACCCTCTACCTTGCAAGTACAATTGTTATCTATGTTACACACCTCTTCTTTGCACGTGGGTCTCATTTAGCAAAAATGAGAGATTAAGTTATACAAACATTTTCAGGACCCACTGCCACCTAGCAAGTTGAATCATATTATTCACATTGAGGGGAAAGATACTGGCCTTTCCAGTATATTTTGAAAGGCCCAATGCAGCCGTTTTTATATCAAATCATTTCTGGGTAACAATTAAGTACAGTGCCTTGCAAAAGTATTCATCCCCCTTGGCGTTTTTCCTATTTTGTTGCGTTACAACCTGTAATTTAAATTGATTTTTATTTGGATTTCATGTAATGGACATACCCTTTGCTATGAAGCCCCTAAATAAGATCTGGTGCAACCAATTACCTTCAGAAGTCACATAATTCGTTAAAGTCCACCTGTGTACAATCTAAGTGTCACAGGATCTCAGTATATATATACCTGTTCTGAAAGGCCCCAGAGTCTGCAACACCACTAAGCAAGGGGCACCACCAAGCAAGCGGCACCATGAAGACCAAGGAGCTCTCCAAACAGTTCAGGGACAAAGTTGTGGAGAAGTACAGATCAGGGTTGGGTTATAAAAAAATATCAGAAACTTTGAACATCCCACGGAACACCATTTTAAATCCATTATTAAAAAATTGAAAGAAAATGGCATCACAACAAACCTGTCAAGAGAGGGCCGCCCACCAAAACTCACGGACCAGGCAAGTAGGGCATTAATCAGAGAGGCAACAAAGAGACCAAAGATAACTCTGAAGGAGCTGCAAAGCTCCATAGGACCACTTTAAGCCGTACACTCCACAGAGCTGGGCTTTACGGAACAGTGGCCAGAAAAAAGCCATTGCTTAAAGAAAAAAATAAGCAAACACGTTTAGTGTTCTCCAAAAGGCATGTGGGAGACTCCCCAGACATATGGAAGAAGGTACTCTGGTCAGATGAGACTAAAATTGAGCTTTTTGGCCATCAAGGAAAATGTCTGGCGCAAACCCAACACCTCTCATCACCCCGAGAACACCATCCCCACAGTGAAGCATGGTGGTGGCATCATCATGCTGTGGGGATGTTTTTCATCGGCAGGGACTGGGAAACTGGTCAGAATAGAAGGAGTGATGGATGGCGCTAAATACAGGGAAATTCTTGAGGGCAGCCTGTTTCAGTCTTCCAGAGATTTGAGACTGGGACGGAGGTTCACCTTCGCCCTAAGCATACTGCTAAAGCAACACTTGAGTTGTTTAAGGGGAAACATTTAAATGTCTTGGAATGGCCTAGTCAAAGCCCAGACCTCAATGCAATTGAGAATCTGTGGTATGACTTAAAGATTTCTGTACACCAGCGGAACCCATCCAACTTGAAGGAGCTGGAGCAGTTTTGCCTTGAAGAATGGGCAAAAATCCCAGTGGCTATAGATGTGCCAAACTTATGGAGACATACCCCAGCAGCTGTAATTGCTGCAAAAGGTGGCTCTACAAAGTATTGACTTTGGGGGGGTGAATAGTTATGCACGCTCAAGTTTTCAGTTTTTTTTTAGTTTTTCTTGTTTGTTTCACAAAAAAATATATTTTGCATCTTCAAAGTGGTAGGCATGTTGTGTAAATCAAATGATACAAACCCCCGAAAATCCATTTTAATTCCATGTTGTAAGGCAACAAAATAGGAAAAATGCCAAGGGGGGTGAATACTTTTGCAAGCCACTGTACCTTACTATAATAGTTTTTCATTAAAACGGACAACAATGATTGGTCTATTAACTAATTTATCGGTGATGTCACCAGGCAAGCCAAAACTCCTGCCCATGCAAACAGGCTGATAAGAAGGTTTTGAGTAGATTGTATTTTGCAGATGGCCGGGAATAGTCTTTAGGAGAGAGTTATCACATGATAATCCCGGGTTCGAGGACCTTATTGCTTTTATAAGAAGGTTGCCATTGTATTTATAAAAATATATTTTCATAACAAATATTATTTTAGCTAGTAAATTCGTTTTTGCATTCTGAAGTTGCTACCCAAGCGGGCTGGTCATTTGTTTTTTTCTCATGTTTTGACCCAGTCGTTAATTATAATTATTCTATTAATTCGACATTGCTATGCTAAACAAATCATTGGCGTCTAGCTGGCTAGCAGAGAGTGAATGATGATGAGAGACAAGAACTTCAATAAATCATGATTTAACCCCTTGGGTCAATGTCCGCGCCCCCGTGAAAATCAATAAGCATAATAAAACAATCCCCATAAAAATGTGTCAGTTTAAGCTAGAGATCTGTTTTTGCATTAGATGCGTCTCAATCAACCGCATCCGCCAATGTCGCACTTCCGCATCTGTGGTGAAAGGTGACAGAGCTAGGTCTTCTCACAAAATCGTCTGTAGCGTCCAAACGGTTTGACCTACAAACTATTATGACCCCTCTATGGAAAGATGAGACTCACCAAATGAATGGAAGTATATATGGAGACTGTTTAGTACCAAAAATAAGGGGTTAAATACATGTAAAACAAAATATTTTATTTATTTTTGGGGGGGGACTATCTGTTGTTCCATGTAAGAAATGTTTTATGCAATGCATATGTATGGGCTAATAGCAGTAATGCCAAACATACTTTTTTATTCAGTACCAGTCAAAAGTTTGGACACCTACTCATTCAAGGGTTTTTCTTTATTTGTACTATTTTTTACATTGTAGAATAATAGTAATGACATCAAAACTATGAAATAGCACTGGAGTAACCAAAAAAGTGTTAAACAAATCGAAATATATTTTATATCTTCGGGGGGGGGGGGGGGGGTATACAGAAGATAGCCCTGTTTGGTAAAATACCAAGTCCATATTATGGCAAGAACAGCTCAAATTATCAAAGAGAAACAACAGTCCATCATTACTTTTAAGACATGAAGGTCAGACAATCCGGAAAATGTGAAAAACTTTTAACGTTTCTTCAAGTACAGTCGCAAAACCATCAAGCGCTATGATGAAACTGGCTCTCATGAGGACCGCCACAGGAAAGGAAGACCCAGAGATACCTCTACTGCAGAGGCTATTTGACCAAGAAGGAGAGTGATGGAGTGCTGCATCAGATGACCTGGCCCCACAATCCCCCGACCTCAACCCAATTGAGATGGTTTGGGATGAATTGGACTGCAGAGTGAAGTAAAAGCAGCCAACAAGTGCTCAGCATTTGTGGGAACTCTTTTAAGACTGTTGGAAAAGCATTCCAGGTGAAGCTGGTTGAGAGAATGCCAAGAGTGTGCAAAGCTGTCAAGGCAAAGGGTGGCTACTTTGAAGAATCTCAGATACAACATTTATTTTGATTTGTTGGAAACTTTTTTGGTTACTACATGATTCCATATGTGTTATTTCATAGTTTTGATGTCTGTGAAAAACCCTTGAATGAGTAGGGGTGTCCAAACCTTTGACTGGTACTGTATATTTTTTTGAAACTTCAAGGGGTCTTCAAATTCAAAATCAAATATAAAAATGATCCTTAGTATTTCCTTCTTTAAACCATTCCATATAGCTTAGTAGAACCCCTCCCCGGTTTAGACAGAGCTTAGACTGTAATGGGTTAATAAATATCCAATAGGCCTACATAGGCAACACCTATTATGATTGGCGAGTCCGAGCTAACTAAGCTAGTTGGTGATGTTAATAGGGACGTTTCCTTTGATGGCACACGAGTGGAAGAATAGTCCATGGTCCTGGTGCTGGTTGACAGCCAGTGCTTGCCTCTACTTTGGCAGAGAATGGGACGTCCCACTCTCACACCGATGGCCATTATTTCCCTTGCCTCCTGGCCCGCATCGGATAACTTTTGCAATCTGAGGTTGCTACTCAAGCGGGCTGGTCATTACCTCATGTTTTGACCCAGTCGTTAATTTTAATCATTCTATTTATTCGATGTTGCTATGCTAAACAAATGATTGGCATGTAGCTAGCTAGAAGAGGTTCAATGATGAGACAAGAACTTCAATAAATAATTAATAATTTTATAAATATCCAATAAGCCTACATAGGCTGCACTGCTCTGGTTAAAGAATGAATGGAATTCGGAGTGTTTACGGTTTACATGGTTAATAATTAGTTTCACATTCATTCTTGGGCTAGCTAACCTACTGGCATGGGAGAGATCGCATTTGTAAAATGATACATTGTTGCACAGGTCATAGAGGCAGACAAGTAGGTTTGTACAACCCCCGAGTGTTGCAAACCAAATAGTAGCATGGGAAAATAATATGTAGACGCTTTTTCCCAAGGGAGATGAAGTTTATGAATTTCCTACCTGGGCTGCGGGACTGTGGAATTATGAGATTTAACACGTCATGGTATTTAGCGGGAGTTGTCCCACTACTCAACCAATCAGGATCCAAACAACCTGTTTTATATGAGGGAATAACACTGATAAAAAAATGTTCACACTTGCAGTGTTAGTTTCATCAGCTGTTGTACAGTATGATACAAAACACAAGGAACTGAATTTTGACTGCACTGGGCCTTTAAAGGAGGTATCCTATGAATGTATTGATAGACTAAAGCAGTCATCGTGTTTTGCAGGAAGTGTCTTAGCTGTGACCATGGCGGACCCTCACGCCAGCGGCAAAACCAACTGCTTTGTGGGCATCTGCATCCAGAGAGGTGGCCACGGACTGGGAGCCACGTTTGTCCTGAGGAATATCATTGACGGCCAAGGTGAGGATGATTATGTAGTACACAAACAGGTCCCCTTGTGAACAGTGGTTGTGTGTGTGTGTGTGTGTGGGGGGGGGGGGTGTATATTGCTTCCTGGATAAACATCACAGTTGGATGAGTTTGTCTGACCCATTAGTTGTGGAGCTACCCTCTATCTACAGTGAAGAAGCTCAATTTCCATTGATTTAGTGCAGATATGGCCAACCCTCCTCCTGGTCAATGTCCCAATTATTTCTCCTTCCTCCCGAAGTGTGCACTCAATCATTTGAAAGGAAATAACTGGTTTAAGAAATATAGTGGAAACTCCCAATAGCGCATGAATCTACTAATCCAATGATTTTAGATTTGTGTGAAGTAGAGAACGGGTGCACACTTCAGGAGAAAGGAGATATTATTGGGACGCACACCTGGAGAGCTACTTGGTTGGCAGGGTTTCACTCTGTCCTGGTTAGCAGCTAACTAATAGAATCAGGTGGAAGGAAGGAGCTCTCCAGGATAAGGGTTGGGGAGCCTTGATTTAGTGTGTGCCTGTAACATCTGAGTAAAGCACTGAGCCATGATAACCTTTGGCTAAATACTTTATATCTCTCCATCTCTCTCGCTCCCTCAGGAGTGGAGATCTGCTATGAGCTGTACAGCCCGCGGCTGCAGCAGCTGGAGGTCCTGAAGCTGGAAAAGAGGCTGGACAACAACCTGATGTACCTGAGAGACGCCCTGCCCGAGTACAGCACCGTGGACCTGGACATGAAGCCCGTACCCCACTCGGTCACCGGGGACGTGCCCGTCAACAAAGTAAGTGGCTGGCTCTGACTATTGTTTCACTCAGCAGTTGACACGGCTGAATACACATTTTGGCTCGTCTTTATTCTGTTCAAAACAAATCTGACATTTCTGTGTTTTCTTCCACTTCAGTCAGTTGAAATTAAATGTAAGTGGGTATTGTTTATAAGGAGCATGTATGGTAATTGTGTAAATGCTGTAAAGGGATTGGTATAAATGAAGAACCAGAGCATTGTAAATAGTTTAGATACCTGATTCAGATACCAGTTTGTACAGAAAAGTATTTATCTGACCCCCTATATCTCAAAACAGTATTTCTCTGACCCCTTTTATCTCCGAACAGTATTTATCTGACCCCCTATTTCTCAGAACAGTATTTATCTGACCCCTTATATCTCAGAACAGTATTTCTGACCCCTTTTATCTCAGAACAGTATTTCTCTGACCCCTTTTATCTCAGAACAGTATTTATCTGACCCCTTTTTATCTCAGAACAGTATTTCTGACCCCTTTTATCTCAGAACAGTATTTATATGACCCCTTTTATCTCAGAACAGTATTTATCTGATCCCCGATTAGGGTTACAAAGGGAGGCGTATATTACTGTCAACTTTAGTAGAAACTCATGGACAATATGGAGACGATATAAAAAAATGAAAACTATATATGAATAAATGTAAAAGTTATTCAAGTATAAATTACCAAAGTTACAATAGATTGCCATAGATTTTCTGTTAATTACCAAAATTACTGAATATTCCAGTAACTTTGGAAAACTACCTGTAGCTTTGCAACCCTACCCCCTATATCTCACAGAACAGTATTTGTCAAACCCCCTATATCTATCTCCCCCATTCTTCCCTCCAGACCAGAGTGCGTATGCGTCCCAAGCCTTGGTCCAAGCGCTGGGAGCGGCCCAAGTACGACGTGAAGGGCATCCGCTTCGACCTGTGCCTGTCACCTGAGAAGCTAGAGCACGCCCAGAAGTGGGCGGAACCCTGGCGGGAGTACGACATGCTGAAGGAGCATGACACCACAGGCCTGGAGGAACGCATCCTCAAGGAAGTGCAGACGGAGATGAGCAAGTGAACGTGCCCCAAACCCCTCACCCCGACCCTCTCTCTCAACCAGGGTTGTGCAGCTCCGGTAGGCGGTGGGCAGCTCCGGCAGCAGTGTCTGCTGGTTTTCTTTCAAATCAGTGCATGACATGGAGTCAGGGAAGTGATATATACTTTATTCACTCCATGAGCAATTAGTAACATGAACGGATCAATGAAGTGCCAGAGAAAGAGAAGACACTGCTGCAGCTAAGGGTTAGGGAGCAGCTAACCCTGCCAAGCCCTCACAACACTTCATGGCACTGGGTCTTCCAACTGTCTCCATGTACATAATGTCTGGTCAGAGGTAGAGAGCAACATTGAGGAGTCTGGATCTGCCATGGACATTGGTGGAACATGCATAGCTGTGGTTACCTGCTTACTTCATCGTGTCTTGTATTGTATGTCTAGAAGAGTGTTTGTGTTGCATTTCTTAATTAAAATGCTATTCAACATTTGTTTTCCTTGTCCTTTTAATATCTGGTGTATAATGCTGTATGCTACTTGATGGGTCCCATTTTTTTGTCTAGACAAACAATTGCTGTTTTAACAATTAATTAATTTCAGTTATAACAGAGCCGAAGCGATTGACAGTGAGAAAGAGTATTTTAATATGTTCCATTTATTTATATACCCTTAAATGCAATGTTCCCTCAATTCTTTTTTTTTGCCACTGAGCAAATTTCAGGTCTGCTGAGCACAAATATGAATGTTGTGAAAATTCTGTGCAACTTCTGCTGCGTGTTTATTGTGAACACATGAGGCTGTACCCGCTTTAAGTTAGTTACAACAGTGGCCAAGTAGGCTACTGTGGCTATTTGATCATAATGTAGGCCTACCAGAGTGGCCTACCATCAAAAACAATGGAGAAAATGCATCCCAAAAGATTTTAACATGGAAATAGCTGTTCTATCATTCAGCCTACAGTAGCAGCCAATGTGTGGTGTTGAATGTAGGCCTACATTCCATGAGACTTTTGAAAAAAACATGCAGGGCTTGATATTAACCTGTTTATCCACTTGTCCTTCAGACAAGGAGGTTACTGAAAATGTGTTGTTTGATGCAAGAAACCACTTTACAAAATGAAGCTAATTATTATTCCCATAACATTATTACAGAGAGTCAGACAAATTATGCTACACTCTGCCTATTGTCTACTTAGCGAATTCAAGCCTGTCTCAAAATACAACACTGCCCCTTTAAGAGAAAAAATTCTCTTTACCTGACTCACTTTTCAAAGATGGATGGAAATGCACATGTTTTGTGCTTTTGTAGGAAGCAACCACTGCCCCATTGCTGACTAGAAATTAACTATAACTGGGCTAATAACTCAATTACTAGCAAAGAATAGGAACAAATGTGCACACTTGGCTACATCCAGCTCTCGCTTTAATCTCAAAACAAGCGCAACTTCTGGCTGTAAACACAGTCCAGTTCAAAGTGAATGGCACAGATTCATATATGGCAATGGTCTATTTGCATATAGGGATACTGCAGCTCTGATTGGTTATGCCGCACTGGTCTGTAGAGTACGGGCTGAGTCCTGCCTGTCAATGCAATAGAATCCTACTCCGGTGCGTTCTGCCTACAAGATCTCTTGCAGAGTTAGTTTTGCATACTAAATTTTGCATAGTTCGTTTTGTTTCGGTATGTTGCATTGGAAGTGGCTAGTATTGGCAATTCCCACAGTAGAGGGAATTATGTCCAAATCATCCAAAAGTATCTAAAATTGATTTTGAAGCTCAACAAAGTCACTTATAGATGTTTTGAACATGATGTGCGAAAATGCTAATATCAGTTCCATGACTTGAATGGGATTTGTGCCACAAATGTTAAAACGTTAGCATGTGGAAACAGTGCCAGGGAAACTAAACCAAAGCATGGCTTGCTGTTACATTGAGGGAAAAAAGTATTTGAGCCCCTGCTGATTTTGTACGTTTGCCCACTGACAAAGAAATGATCAGTCTATATTGTTAATGGTAGGTTTATTTGAACAGTGAGAGACAGAATAACAACAACAAAATCCAGAAAAACGCATGTCAGAAATGTTATAAATTGATTTGCATTTTAATAAGGGAAATAAGTATTTGACCCCATCTCAATCAGAAAGATTTCTGGCTGCCAGGTGTCTTTTATACAGGTAACGAGCTGAGATTAGGAGCACACTCTTAAAGAGTGCTCCTAATCTCAGCTTGTTACCTGTATAAAATACACCTTTCCACAGAAGCAATCAATCAATCAGATTCCAAACTCTCCACCATGGCCAAGACCAAAGAGCTCTCCAAGGATGTCAGGGACAAGATTGTAGACCTACATAAGGCTGGAATGGGCTACAAGACCATCGCCAAGCAGCTTGGTGAGAAGGTGACAACAGTTGGTGCGATTATTCGCAAATGGAAGAAACACAAAAGAACTGTCAATCTCCCTCGGCCTGGGGATCCATGCAAGATCTCACCTCGTGGAGTTGCAATGATCATGAGAACGGTGAGGAATCAGCCCAGAACTACACGGAAGGATCTTGTCAATGATCTCAAGGCAGCTGGGACCATAGTCACCAAGAAAACAATTGGTAACACACTATGCCGTGAAGGACTGAAATCCTGCTGCGCCTGCAAGGTCCCCCTGCTCAAGAAAGCACATATACAGGGCCGTCTGAAGTTTGCCAATGAACATCTGAATGATGCAGAGGAGAACTGGGTGAAAGTGTTGTGGTCAGATGAGACCAAAATCGAGCTCTTTGGCATCAACTCAACTCTCCGTGTTTGGAGGAGGAGGAATTCTGCCTATGACCCCAAGAACACCATCCCCACCATCAAACATGGAGGTGGAAATATTATGCTTTGGGGGTGTTTTTCTGCTAAGGGGACAGGACAACTTCACCGCATCAAAGGGACGATGGACGGCGCCATGTACCGTCAAATCTTGGGTGCGAACCTCCTTCCCTCAGCCAGGGCATTGAAAACGGGTCGTGGATGGGTATTCCAGCATGACAATGACCCAAAACACACGGCCAAGGCAACAAAGGAGTGGCTCAAGAAGAAGCACATTAAGGTCCTGGAGTGGCCTAGCCAGTCTCCAGACCTTAATCCCATAGAAAATCTGTGGAGGGAGCTGAAGGTTCGAGTTGCCAAACGTCAGCCTCGAAACCTTAATGACTTGGAGAAGATCTGCAAAGAGGAGTGGGACAAAATCCCTCCTGAGATGTGTGCAAACCTGGTGGCCAACTACAAGAAACGTCTGACCTCTGTGATTGCCAACAAGGGTTTTGCCACCAAGTACTAAGTCATGTTTTGCAGAGGGGTCAAATACTTATTTCCCTCATTAAAATGCAAATCAATTTATAACATGTTGTTATTCTGTCTCTCACTGTTCAAATAAACCTACCATTAAAATTATAGACTGATCATGTCTTTGTCAGTGGGCAAACGTACAAAATCAGCAAGGGATCAAATACTTTTTTCCCTCACAGTCCATAGACTGCTTACAGGGTAATGTCATTTTGTAATTTAGGTGAACTATCCCTTTATTTTACCAGTTAAGTCTATGGACAGAGAACATATTCTCTTATACAGCAACGACCTGGGGAAGAGTTACAGGGGGGAGGAGATGTGTATTACTGTTAGTTGGATGTTGAACATGACCTCAGAGGAACTGTGTGTTGACATTGATGCACAGCAGGGAGCTGTGCTAATGACCATTTCAGTATTAATGACAGAAAGACCTCTACAGTGTCCATATTAGGACAGTCTCAGCAGGACACAGTAGACATGTTGAGTTCCTTTGTGGTCTTCAGTCAATGGACCAGTGTGCTTCCCCACAGAAGGGCTATGTCCAAATTATCATGCCACGTCCTATTTACTATGTATTTTGTGTATGCAAGAATAGAAAGTCATGCAGTATGTAATTGATTACAAATGAGTATCTTTCAATGCCAGGCTGTTATACTCATTTTCATTAGAAAGAGTAAAAAGCCTGAAGCTCTCCAGGACGCCCAACCCCCAGCTCTACCTCATTGTATTCAAAAAAAGAAACAGACTTTTTAAATATATTTTTTACATGCCATTTAGCAGACGCTTTTATCCAAAGCGACTTTGTCATGTGTGCATACAGTACCAGTCAAAGGTTTGGACACACCTACTCATTCAAGGGTTTTTCTTTATTTTTACTATTTTATGTTTCCCTGCATTAAAGTCCCCGGCCACTAGGAGCGCTGCCTCTTGATGAGCGTTTTCCTGTTTAGTTATGGCCTTAAACAGCTCATTGAGTGCAATCTTAATGCCAGCATTGGTTTGTGGTGGTAAATAGACAGCTATGAAAAATATAGATGAAAACTCTCTTGAATTAAACTCAGACATTGTCCTTTTTGACTCCGTGGATGGACCTAAACTTTTTCTGCATGTTCCCAAAAGCATTTGGTGATTGGCGTGTAGAGTATTTGGCACACATACAGTTAGGCCCAAAGCTTATAAACCCATGCAGGTTATGAGTCAACCCGTGCATCACTAGTGGACACCTAGTTGCCTTTTACTATAGTGAGTGGAAAATCCTTGTGGTTTTGTTTTGAGATTGTTCCATAGTGTTAGTTACAGTTAGAACTGTAAACACACTCGGAGCTAGTACGTCATGTCTGTGATGTGTGTGTGTGTGCTGGGAATGACTCTCCCCTACACTCTCTAATTTCCCCACATTACAGGAGCAGCCGTCTCTAATACAGGAGCACCAGATGTTTACTCAACTCATTATGGACCACACACCCTCATAAACACACACACACACAAATGCACGCACACACGGAGGCACGCCCAGGTGGTGCCACAACATGCATACACACACACACAAACACACACACACAAAGGTGAAGCTGGGACAGAATAAAATATTTATCGATGAATCAAATCAAATCAAATTTTATTTGTCACATGCGCCGAATACAACCGTGAAATGCTTACTTACAAGCCCTTAACCAACAATGCAGTTCAAGAAAGAGTT